TCGAAATTTTGACTGAAGGCGTTCCATCATTGGCTCTTATAATGAGAGCCTTATCCAATACTAAATCAGAATAACACAAGAGAAAATTCGACAGAAACGAAGTTGCAAACTTTCTCATGCGAGCATTTCCCTGCTGGGGATACCGTCTATAGAAAGAGGCGTGTCGTGCGCATCTACATACTTGGCTGAAAGCAAAAACACTATGCAAACACACGAGTCCTTATCGAGCCGAGTCACTGAATGACCGTCGACAGCGATCAATTCGCAAACTTTGTATTTTCATGAACTCACCACTTCTCTCCGGAAGAAGAAAGTCAACATAAATTCCACCCGATGATTCGTCCTCAACCTCTACACCTTCGACGTGCGACGAGACGAAACTGAAGGTCCGGTGTGGTCGCATTGAATCACCAGAAACTCCACCTTAAGGACTTCGCACAGAATTCAACTTGAGGGACTTTATCTCCCAGCAGGACCACACCCGGTGAGGTCAATTTCTTCATGGCTGCATACGTGTCAGCAAAGGTCGGAAATCTGAGCAATAACAATCGGAGAAAATGACAGCAAAATATTGCAAAAAGACAACGGGCAGCAGCAAGAATACTAATATTCACCTCAAGCAAATGATACCATCGTTGAGCTGTTCTTGTACGAACCACCTAGTATCACTCAGAACATCAACAGTAGTCTCACCCTCATGTCCACCCGAGCCCCCCAGGGCCTCAGCGTCTCTCAATGCCTGATCAGTCAGCCGAATACAATATCACACAAACCTTCAAATTGCCCACCTTGAGCTTTAAAACTTCATCGACGCTCACTGGAGGGTCCTGACTGACTTCTACCGTTCTCGCCGACTCAGAAGTGACACGCAGGCTCCTCAAGGGTATGGAGGCCTTGGAAAGGTCGGCGTTGGGGATCTGACATGCCACAGTAGACTACTGTGAGGTCCTCGACCCATCCTCGCCCACCTCGAATATCGGCGCGTTGCGAACCCTCATCTCAAGTCGTGCGTTGGTGTCAGCAGTTATAATGGATCCAATACTCTCTAATACTTCAGAGAGCATATATCTGCAATACGATACGCATTTTGTAACCACAAACGTTAAGTAATTTCAATATACACTTCCTCGACTATCCCACTTCACTTACTGCCAGGCAACTCTTGTGATCATAAGGGTTCGTTTGAATATTGCAGGCTCGAGGCGCATGGCTCTGTTAGAAACATCATCAGCACTCGTACAAACAATACCAAAGAGCCGAGCCACATTCGACCGGCACATCCTCGCCGACTGAAAACTCATCAGATGACTTCCTCTTACTCCAACTCCAACTCTCCCACCTTTTCCGTTTCAAATTCGATCAATGCTGTTATACGCGACTCGTGAGCCGCAAAACTTTGCGAACTATCAGAAATCGAATCCGCGCTCGAAGCCCTGCCGTTGAATATCTCCACGTCAACAATGCGGCCGATCTGAATTCAATGAGAACTCTCATCAAATGCAAATCAAAGAGGACCTACATTGCCCAGGGCGTGCGCTAAGTCCTCTCGAGTGACCCCAAATGGGAGGTTCGTTGCGAAGACCATCCGGTCTTGTTAACTGCGAATACTATCAGAATCATCACCAACAATAGAGCCGCTGAGGATCTCAACTCGCACCTGCATGTGAACATCTAATATGGGATTCTCAACCTGTTCTCGGCTGATCCCATCAAACCTACAAGGATATTGAGGATAGATATCAATTTAATAATATAATAATGGAGTTTCACAACCCTAGTGATGTGAAAAACACTAGTGAAAAACACATTTCACTTCGCGAAAAACGCATGTGAGTAGTGAATTTCGCGTAAAACATGTGATGTGTTTTTCACATGGAGTATTACGCCACTTAACGTAAAACGGGTGAGACTCCAATATTATTAAAGTGATATCTATCCTCATTATCCGTGTTTATAATCCATCATATAACAATGATCTACAAAGATCGATGTACAAACTATTCAATGAATAGTGCACTAAAATAGGACCCTCTGCCAGATATCCAACTATATTAGAGTATAAACACTCAATAGCCGTTGAGTTCTACTGTGTGGCCCAAGAATGTTATCGAAAAATACCATAAGATGACTTCTGTTACTATCACAACATATTTCCTCATACGTGTTTCTCATATAACCCCACTTACATCAGGAATCCGTTTATCCCGCGCCGCACTGGCTCGGGGTGCCCTGAAGGCTATCTGGTCTTCGTGGATGACCTCATCGGAGGAAACCACTTCGTTGGCACTCAGAACCACTATAGGCTGCTCGCTGAACCTGAGGGACTCAATGATGGAGTTTCACCCCTGATATAAAAAACACTAGTAAAAATATCTCACACGTTCGAATTAGCATGATTGCAGGACGAAGACTCGGTGAAATCTAACCGGCCTTCACGAGCGACCCAGCATGGACGATAACCGCGATATGTGGTTTAGTTGAATTATACAAATGTGGAATCCGCTACGAATTTTGTAGTACGAAGTTTTTACACCCCGAATCTTCGGCCCTGGAAGATCTTGGATGAAGACGTATCCTCCACGATTTTTCTTGATCTTTCAATAATGTAGCATATTATGGCTAATACTTTACAATCTCAAACATCACATTTCACATCCTAAATGCGATTCATATGAACTAATCAAAGCGTATGGATATACTAGTTATTCGGTGACATGCTCGGAGCATGTAGTAAATTGCAATGCTATGAGACACGTGGCTTCATCAAGCTGTAGTATGACCTGATGTTGCTACCAGTGGTAGCCTACCACCATTAGTGTTGCTTCTCACAACATCTGCCCGATAATGGTTCGTTTTGTTTGGCGGTTTCACTGAGTCTGCACTGAGAACTTCTCAGACCCGATTCCCTCTTAATAGTAGTGACATCCCGATTAATCTGGTTGATGGCCTGTCATGTTGTGGGATATTTGGGGGCTCAGGTTGCAACTAGAATCGGCAGCCGCCGATTCTAAAAATAATTCGGACAATATGCACATGGTCAACCACATATGTTGGTGAAAAAATGAGAATTCTGAGGAAATTTTGAGAATTCTCATTGAGTCCTCTACATTTTT